GACCCATCCAGCCACGATGCCACAAACGAGCGCCACAGGAAGTCAGCTTTTTGCCTGTGCCATCGAACTTTACAACTCTTTCCCTCTGAGGGTCAGTTTGCCTTCATAATTTATAATTTCCATTATTTATACGTGTAATTAATATAATTTTGGAATAAGTGCAATTTTAATATATCATCATAATTAATAAATTTTTTATTTTAACTGAATTTCTATTATTGACTGCAATATATTATATGCTTTGTGGTACTGATAGATGTAATAGTTATTGAATATTATTTTATCTTTATTGTTGTGTCTGTTTTATTGCATGTCTTATTGGTACTGTGCATGTGAGTTTCTCTGGATTTCTTTGCTCAGAGTGAGCAAACGTTATGCAAGTAATCTAGATTTCCCACAGTGGAGGCATCAATAAGCATGTGGATTCGTGATTTTCTGAGTGATCGACCGGTCCTAACAGGAAATGTTGAGTGGTCTGGCAATAGTTGAAATTTAATGATAAATAATGAAAAATAATGCTTAAATAAGCAATGTCATTGATTTGGTAAACACTAACTGTAATTTTTTCATAGAAAGATTATGTTGATTTTATTTAGGATGTGGGATTCTCGCTTCATATTTCTTTCTTAAATGCTGCATTTTTTGTGCCTCTGAGCAAGGCAAGGATTGAAAGGGAGGAGCATTAACAGTAACAGCATATTAGTCTGTTATCAAAATCTAATATTTTCTGTTGAATGTTTGTTTACTACTGCGTGTGTTGTGTGGTGTGTGTCTGTGTGTGTTGTTGTGTGTGTGGTGTGTGTGGTGTGGTGTGTGTGTGTGTGTGTGGTGTGTGTGTGGTGTGTGGTGTGTGTTCAGATGTAACCTGGAGCTATAACAATGTGGTCAGCTGCTGAAATGTTTTAGCTGCTCGAACAAATGGCGCCGTCGAGTTTTGAAAAAAGACAAACTGGTTTATCTGCTGCTCTCTTCTTCATGTTCTATGTGGAGGAAGTTTGTTCCTGGTCCACAGAGCGAGCTGCGAGTGTTTCATGTGACTGTTTGTTCCAGGTTTCGTCTTACCACCTGCGAAGCAGAAGTCCACGCTGAGTTTCAGGGTGGAATCGGAGGTGGACGTTCTCGCTCCAGAGCCTTCTGTCTGCTGGGGTGAGCCTCAGCAGCCTAGACGAGCTGGGACAAACATTATCAGTATGCCTTTTTACGCACACACACACACAACACAACACAACACAAAACACACAACACACACCACATTGTAGATGAAGAGTCAATTGTGAAGCTTAAAATTGTCTCTTCCAACATGTGTTGTCATAACAAAGTCAGGGTTTTACTGTATGAATGATCTGCCCTCAGGAAAAGGTTGGAGTTCAAGACGTGTGGTATTTATCAAGAGAAGGAAATGCACTCCTTAAAGGTTCAATAAGTGCAAAAATTAAAATTTGAGGAAGCCCTGCGAAAGGAGTCCACACACTGTCAGGAAGCTGCAGGAGATCAGAGTCCAACACGATAGAAAGTTCTAAAAAACTATTTTTTAACAACATAGCGTTTTTTTCGGTACATTTAATTTTAAGTCCATGTGCATGGTAAGCTAAGTTACATGACTATTGGGAAATACCATTAAGAATGAGTTGAAGCTATTTCAGTAATTGTTTGTTTCGAATCATTACTTTTTGTCATTAGATAACTGTGGTTACTATTATTACCAGACACAACAGACACTGTGTAACACTCTGGTCAAACAAAGACACATGGTAATCTAAGACAACAGTGAGGTCAAAACTTAATGCAGATGTAACATGCTCTGTTATTTATATCAGGCACGAACACTGATAATGTCATCTGTGGCAGCAATAATGCGTGTACATCAGTGGCAAGATAAGATAAGGTAAACCTTTATTAGTCCCCTCTGTGGGCAAAAGTTTGTTCCGTCCCTGGTGGGCTTGAACCACCACTGTTTTCGTTAATAGCCGAACGCGCTAAACGATGCGCCACAGAGACAGTTTGCAGCTGTTGTGCCAGCACTGCAATGCAACGTCAATGTGTGGAGTGAACAGAGCTCCCAGTTCAAAAGAATCAGTTTCAGTGTTGTCCTTGTGTAGAGGAACATCAGATATGAAACTGTAAGAACAGATAACTACACCTGCAAAGATGAACAAAAAGGAAATGAGGTGTGTTCCATGTGGTTGGAGCCTGTGGTGAAAAGCTCCAACTATCAGAGGCCTTTCACCTCTTTCTCACTGTCTCACCAAACCACATTCCTCCGCTGCTTTAGGTGGAGATGACAACAGTAAAGAACATTTTTAACAAATGAAATCTGTCATCGTGTTGGATTTTTTTAAATAGCACACTTTTACTAAAAGGTTGATTCAGCCTTCACCTTATGGGAATGTTCCATCTGTGCCAGGCCTTTATAACATTTTTCAAAAAAGGTCAGAGGTCAATTTCTGGAGGGTCTCTCAGTCTCTCTGAGCTGGACTTGTGGCTACAAAGCATAGACTGTTATATAAAACATTTTCTGAGTGTCCGAGGTTGGTGAGTCAATATTTCTGAAGTGATGACAATTCCTCTGTAACCCTTCTGCTTGCTGGTTCTGCACTCTCTGGGAGGAGGCAAGAAGGCCGGGCAGAGGTGATGTTGTGTGTGGGTTGTGTGTGGGTGTGTGGGTGGATGGGGGGGGGGGTGTAATTCACTTTCTGTAAGACTCTCTACAGTCGTGAGCAGAGCAGATTCCAGACCAAGTTGGTGAGGCCTTCTGTTTTCCCAGCACCAGAGAACAAGCTCTTCAAGGATCCCAGAGCGTTTATATTTATTTTTCTGAGCTACCAAAATAGTGTTTTTGTTTCCCATAATACCGAAACATATTACATCTCACACACAAAAGCAAACAAAAAGATCCTTTCATAGCATTGGGTGTGAGAAGAATCCAGATATTATAATAATATATTATTATAATATATATATATATATATTATTATATTATATTAATATATATATATATTACCTGCATCACTGATGATGAACAAACAACAGTTCATCATCCAGCACAAGTTCATGTTTGTTTTAATTTAGACTGGACTCTGGATTCTGGCAGGTTGGTATTTGGAAGTTTGGCCAAATAAAAACACAGGTCACACACATGGATGGTCTAATAATGTGTTAGTATAAGGTTTATACATACAGCTACATATGCAATACATATGTCTTTGAGGAGGTTTGTACTGTCTAACCTATATATCAGCATTAAAACACGTCAGGTAAATTGCAGTTTTTGACACTTGTCTTTACACAGATTAAAGAAAGGAGATAAAATGTGTTAGTTATATGGAGCTGTAAGAAGATTTTGCGTTCGTGGTATTTTTATTACCTAGACAGAGCAAGGTTTTTCCTTTTCTTCCTGTTCCCAGTTTTGTATGCTAAGCTAAGATGAAGCTAACCATTTGTCTGCGGCTGTAGCTTCATGTTTATCATACGGCAGTGAAGTGATGTTAATGTTTTCATGCTAAACTCGTAGAGCAAGAGATAGAATGTGGAGAAAATATAGTGCAATTCAATGTGGAAACTGCGCCTTTAACAATGCAGAGTCTGTATTTCTTCACTTTATATCAAGGAAACTACATCCATCATCATCAGTGTCTTTTTGTCCCAAATTCAGGAAGTGTGAGCTGATCCAACCGGGTGGATGATGATGAGTTCCTGTATCGTGTGGTCACCCGTCAGTCCATCACGGTGCTCCTGGTTCTCCGACTTCAGCCAATCTTGGAGCAGGAATCACTGCAGGACTTCATCTTGCTGGTTCCAAGAGGAAGCCGTGCAGCAGTGGGTCAGTGGAATTGACAGTAAACGGTCAAAGGTCCCATCCTCTGTCTGCAGGACTGAACTGTGGATTGTTGATGTGTTTCTCCTCAGAGATCCATATGTCATCGCTCTGCGGTTAGTGTCCTTGCCCACTCACCCCAAC